CTGGTAATATATTCAATATATATTTCCTTCCCCCTTAACATATTAGATTCCAGGAATTTGTCATTAATTTTGATATTTGATTTGTTTAGGTGGTCATTATATTGCTTATGCCAAAAATCCCATTGATGGGAATTGGTATGAATTTGATGATATGGTCAGTTATTCTCCTTACTAAATATTTTTAATTTAAAATATGTTGGTAGTAGGATTAAAATTAATGTAATTATTACTGTTATTTCAGTTTGTCACTAAAAAATCTGCTGATGAGATAATGAAGATCGAAGCTTATATATTGTTCTATAGTAAAAAAAATCCTGAAAAAAATCAAGAGAGAGTCTTAATTCAGAATCTAATAAGGAATAATGTATGTATTTGGATTTAACTAAACATGGTTTTTTTAATTAAAGAAAAAAATATTCACCTTTCAAAGTAGAAGTTTGATCTTGATTAAATTATTTTTTTAGTCTGAAATTTCTGAAAATGGAACACACTGTTGGGTTTCAAGATTATGGTTTAATAGATGGCAATTTATGATGACAGTAAGTTGACTAATTATTTATTATAATGTATTACTTTCATTTTTGAATTTAAATAATATTATTATTATAATTAGCCTGGTCCAATTTCAAATTATGATTTCATGTGTTCACATGGAGGTATGTATTTTCTTCTCATGCAATACATTTGCAATTAACATTTACAATTATATTTATAATACCTTTTCATATTGAAAGGTATCAATATGAAATTATATCCTAAATTACATGATATGGTAGTAAAGATACCAATCAATGTTTATTCAATGCTGGTTGACAAATATGGAACTGATGGTAGTCCACCATTGCTTATATCTGATGTTAAATCAGCAGGATGTTCTATATGCCAGGTAAAATTTATCACTATTGTTAATATGGCTGGTGTTATCGTTATTACTATTATTATAATAATTGTTTTGGTAAAAAATAAAAGCAACAAGAAAGATTAATGGATAAAAGACGTCAAAAAGAAGCTTGTGATATTCAAAAATTAGACACAAGTTCATTACAAAAAACAGAGTATTGGTTTCTAATTAGTTCAGTATGGCTTCAAAAATGGCATAATTTTAAAGCTGGAGGTGAATATTCGCATATTATTATTAATGATAGATATAATGATGAATGATAATATTAACACTTAACTTTACTATAGCACCTCCACCAGGTCATATTGATAATACAACATTTTTGAAAAAAGATGGAACACCAAGACCTGGGATGAAAATAGGTTCAAATCATTACATTTGTGCTTTTCATTTATAATAATAAATTATTATCTAAAGAAAAAAACATAAATGCATTATTAAATAGGTATTGATTATAGAGGAGTTAATGAAAGGGTTTGGAGCTATTTTGAATACATATATGGTGGTGGTCCTGTATGTGTTAGAGGTATGGGTCATTAGCTGAGTGAAAACGTCATTATTTATTATGATCGAAACATAAAATTTAATTAATCAATTAATTTTATAGCTGTTATTGATCTTTATTCATCGCCGTTAGACTTTGGAAACCCACAAACTAAATCTAACAATAGCAATGTTGTAACAAGCCCAAAAACTTCAAAATATTCATCACACCAATCACACCATTCTTCCAATCAAGTATATCAATCACGCCAACCTTCAAATCAACAACATCAATCATCTTATTTGTCACATCTAATTCATTCACCAAATTCATCACATTTAAATCATTCATTGCCAAAAAATCCACCATTAAATCCAGCTTATCCAGGAAATTATTATAAATATGATAATCGACCAAGATTTTAACACAATAATATTGAAGAATATTGTAAATTTTTTAATTATTATTCTTTTTTATGTAATTATTATTTTTTAAAGAATGATTTCCTTACTGTTATTATTATTTTAATAGTGATAATAGTTATAATTATTATGATTGTGATTATTTATTTATTTATAATATTGTAAATAGTTTTTATTAGAGATTTTCTTTGATGCTCAAACAAAAGAAAACCTGTAGATTAAATTCGAACTTTTTTTTTTAATACAAATAAAAAGAAATTAATAATAATAATGCTAATAAGAATATTGGTCAGATATCAGATTCTGATATTTGCTGATATCTCATTACCCAATTTGGCATCATTCAACCAGTAAAAAGAGAACCAATAGATTATATATAAGCAAATAAAGATGGGGCCTTAAATTAGCACGAAAGAATTTTAAATCATGCACAAACATAAACAGCTTGATAGCTTGATTGACATAGTGGTGTAGTCTTGCAATTGTTTTTATTGTATATTTTAAATATAATTAATTATATGTCTTTAATAAAACAAACATGACTTAGCTATTTGATCGTTTCCTAGTATGTGAATGTCTCCATTCATCAAATATTCACAATGGTGCTCCATAAATTCACCCACATGACTTTTGTGTAAAAAAGAAATTTATTGCATTAAAATTTATTCGTGATATAAATGTAGAAACAAACATTATCATTTGTTGTTATCTCATAGTCAAAGTCAAGAATTTTGTTATGTTATACTCTTAGTCTTTTATAGAGGTTAGCACCGCGCAAAAATTCTTTAACCATTAAAATTAAGAGTTAACCAGTTAATTTAGTCACGTGAAATTTTTTATTACTTACAAAATAATCACGTGCCTGTTGAATTTTATTATTATACACTTAATAGATGCTAAATGATTACAGTCAAACCTCGCCACAGCGGATTCATGGTTCCAGCCAAAAAAATCCGTTATTATTATTATTATTATTATTATTATTATGACAAGAAGTCCGCAGCGGAAAAATTGATCGGGCAAAATTTTTTTAATAATACAAAGCTCTCACTCTATACCGAACCTTTTGTCCAATATATGCATTTTTCTGCTTTTGTTCATTATAGGGAGAAATTAATTATAAAAAACTGAAACGGAGACAGCGACAAAAGGGAAATTCGTTATAGAGAGGTTTGGTATAGTGCAATAAATTAATAAACTAAATACAGAAATAAATAAATGAATAAATGAATAATACGTACGGAAATGAAAATTATTTGTTGAAATAAGATGTAATATTTGGTTGTATTATCTAATAATTTCACTTTTTTCAATGGTTTAAATGCTTTAAATTCTTTACAATCTATTTCTAAATCACATTGTTGAAGAAAATTAAAAGCTATCTCAAAGGAAATTACGGCATCTTTCATTGAAACTTTAGGCATAGTGTTACTCTCAACAACTATTATATTATTAACATCATTTTAAAATCTCTTCGACTATATTTCTTGAATTTCATTATTAGATATTTCATTTTCCAAAAGGAGAATCCTCTATCAATTTTGGTAATTTGGACATTTATATGTCACGTGAATCTGCTGTAGACATAGAAAGACCCCATCAAAAATCTGTGGAACAAATTTATTATTAGTAGTAGAATCCGTTATTATTATGACAAACGTTTTAATTAATATTAATAAGGGGACAATACTTAAATCCGTTGTAACAAGAAATGTGCTGTGGCGAGGTCCGCTGTGACAAGATTTGACTGTAATATATAAAAAAAATTAATAAATGGTGGTTAACCGATCAAAAAAATATCTTAACCAGTTAAACGGTTAACGGTGCCAGCCCCTATTCGTAAATGGCGTAAAAGAGAGTGAAATTATGTATTTATCTTAATCTGTAAGTAGAATTATAAATATGGTAAATATGCAGAATTATGTGAACAGTTTAACTAGTACATTAAAAGCAAATTAATAAACATATTGAATTTTATGATCAAATCATTATATGCATCTCTGAGGTAAAATTGCAATTAACAATATTGATGATAATATATGTGATCGCCGAATCTTATGGGATGATCAAGAAACAAAATAATCAAAGTACCAGACTTTTGAGGAACATCCTTAGTTAGGGCAAAAGAATATGACAACAACGACAATGATATTTTTCAACATTAATCAAAGAAATCTCAACAACTAAAAAGCACTATGATTATTGATGTTATGTGTTGCGGTTGGTGTTTCCTTGTTTCGTATCAAAATGAGTTTTTCTAATGCCATGTATTCATTCCGCACTAGTATCTATTCTGTATATAATTCTTATAGGGGCATAGATCTATTGAAATGAATATTATTCTAATATCAATTTAAACCCCGGTTTGATTCGAATCGGATCACTTTTAAAATTCAACTCGTTCGAAACTTTAATAATTATACCGCCAATTACCTAATTTGCTCTATATTTCTCTGAAGAAATGGTGCGTTATAAATCGCTGGTAGGTATTGATCTTTTGTTAGTTAACAATTAATTTGGTCATTGGACAGTTTCTGCTGGTTTTACATAAGGTTTGATTGTTTATACTCGTAGCAATGTTGAAATTTCCGGTTTGGCAAAGCCAAATCCAATTGGTGTAGTAAAAAATTACAATTGGACCACTCCAATCTACAAATATTAGTTCACTATTAATATAATGAATTGAAAATAGCCATAACTAAAAAACTTGTCGCAATCATGTAAATTTTTAAATAGACTTTAATAATAATAAGTTACAAATTTTATTAAAAAGAACCAATATAAATTAGAGAAGGAAGTGATTTATGAAAGATAATGAAAGTCAGGCTCAATTGAAGGTAGTGATGGGCCAGTTGATGGAAATGCTGATTGAAGAGGAAGAATCGAGTGAACTAGTAGATGTAGTATGAAGACATCTAGTTATTAACAAACAAAGAAGAAATGCGTAAGCTTGATTTCTAAAAATGTTAATGTGTAACCATACTTATCCCAGTCCCAATAAATAATCTAAAAATGAATGAATGAATTGCACGCTTAACAATTTCAGCAATGTCAGCACCTAAACAAGAAGTTTTAGTTTTAGGAGAATTAAAACATCAACATAAATTATTGGAAGAAATGAAAACTCGTTATGAATTTAAAGTAGAATAAGACTTTTTCATCTTCATTACACTTCAATTAAAAGAATTTGTCCATTTATTTTTTATTTTGCGAAAAAAAATTTGATTGATAGGAATTTAAATCAACTAGAAAAGATTTTGTTGTTGAGGCAACAAGTAAATATGAAAATGTTACAGCTATTTTATTAGCTCATGGTGCTCAAGAGGTAGGCAAATAATATATAACATATATTAATTATATGTAGGTATATATATTTCTTATGATGATGAAAAATCACAAGAAATTTATTTCCAAATTAATTATTATAACAAATAAAAGATCATAAACAAGTTTGACACTGAAGTTCTTGATTCACTTTCACCTGCTATAAATGTGATACTAGTGATTGGTAATGCATCTGAATTAGTTGATGTTAAAGTAGCAACAGGGAATGGTAATTATTACTATTAATATTAATATTATTATTTCAGAGACAAATTAATTGGTTAACTCTACTATTTTTTATTATTGTTATTATTATTTGAAAAGGTGTATTTGTGGCAGATACATCTGGAAAATTAAACTTGAGTGAAGGTAAATAATACCACTAATATTTATTTATTCATAGATATATATTTATTAATTTTGCAAACATTTATAATCCTATATAGAGGAAATAGAGGTAAATAATATACATGATATGTCTATAATCTATTTTATTTATATGAATAATAATCAAATTCTAATAATCACTTGAAAAAAATTTCATATGAACCTTTTTTTTTAAATGTGAATAAATATAGCATGCAGCGCTTGATAATCTTGATTTTGCATTAATCACGGGAGTTCCAAAAGATCCTGTAAATGAAATTGAAGAGGTGAAGGAAAATGCTGCTGAAAAAGCGATAGAATTAATTGAAAAATTAGGAAGTTTAAGTACAGATGAATTAGATGTTAGTGATCTTACAATTAAATTGTAAAGATTTCTTGTTTTTTTTTTTTGGAAAGAAAACAACATCTATATACAATTGCAAAGTTTTTGTTTATTTATTATTTTTTATTGATACATTTTTTTGTTAAATAAATAATATATTCATAGTAATAAATAATTATATACATTTACAATTTATTCTCGTCATAAAACAAACAAACAAATATGATAAATGGTTATATGATTGATCATGATTATTACTACTTTAATAATTATAAAAATAAAAAACCAAAATTAGGATTCTGAAAATTACAAATGATTAAAGTTAATAAGGTATTTAATAATAGCTAAAAAAGTGAACAATAATAATTTTATAAAAAATGATACAAGTGTATTTATTAATTTATATTGTTAATAGTGTAATAATAATTACATAATAATTAATTATCGTTATTTAATTCATTGGTGCAATCTTTAGACTAAAATTTTAAAGAAAATAAGAAATATTTTAGTAAGTTATTATTGTAATAATTATTTTTTTACTATTATTACTTACAATATGACCAACTTCACCACATTGATAACATGTTTTGCCAGGTTTGTCATTTGATCCTTGAGAAAAAGAGCATTCTCGTGACTATTAAAAAAAAGAAAAATTAATAAAATATCTAAAATAATAACAATAAAAATAATAATAAAACAACTTACAATATGACCAAATCGGCCACAATTATAACATTTTACTCCACTAGCTTGACAATCTCTAGCAAAATGATTATATCCACTGCAATTGTAACAAACAATAGGAGAACCACGCCCACCACCACTACCACCACCACCACCACCATCACGCCCGCCACGTCCTCCGCCACGTCCTCCAGTATATCCGCCACGTCCTCCTCCCATATACCCACCACGTCCTCCTCCCATATACCCACCACGTCCACGTCCACGTCCAACATATCCACCACGTCCACGTCCACGTCCACGCCCTCTGCCTCCTCCTCCTTCTCTTTCTCTACTCACAGAAAAACTTCCATGGCAATTGCGAGCTAAATGACCCTTTAAAATATTGAATATATTGTGTAAGAATAAATGTAAACATGCATACAAGTATAATTAATTAACTAAGAAGAAGACTTACAAAACGACCGCAATTGTAACAACGACCTCCAGCGCCGCCGCCGCCGCCGCCACCTCCACCACCTCCCCCTCCACGCCCAATTGAGCAATCGGCTTGAAGATGTCCAACTAATAATAATAATAAAGGAATAAAGGGAATGAGAGAAAATAATTCTTTAAAACTCGTTTGGATCTAATTGATTTTTTCCAATTAATAATTTTTACCTCCACCACAAGAATAACATTGCTTCGTTTCAACTGTTCTAGGTTGAGTACATTGGTTAGCTTCATGACCAGGTTGCTTACAATTATAACATAATCTATCGCTTTCTGGACAAGAATCGACAAAATGTCCAACTAATGTTTTTTGAAAAGAAAAAAATTATTATTCAATTTGTGGGTTATATACATGTAAATATGTATGCGCATATATTGAGTAACCTTTTTCACACATGTTTAAATATTTGTTACTTTATAAAAAACAGTTGAAGAATACTAACCGTTTCCACATTTATAACAACTTCTTGAAAATGACATTCTTTACAAGAGCTTGATTAACTTTTGTAATTTGTGTGTGCGAATTAAATAAATAAAAAAGTCAAAAAAAAAAATAAGGAAGGGGATCCTGAAATACTGCTGCAACCTCTTTTCTTCTACTACTACTTCGTCTACAACTTAAAATAAAACAGCTAACAACTAATCAACTACAACTACTGCTTCCACCTTAAATAAAATAATAATGATAAAAAGAGAAGATAGTAATCTCTTGAAATAAAATTGTAAAGAATTTTTTTTTTGAATTATTTTTTTACATTTATATTAATATGGTGGTGATGTGTGATTAAATGTGTACCTTATCAGTTATTGGTTAAATATGGACGTACTATTAGCCCCCAATACTGGTCTTTTTTTAGAAAGCCGAATGACCGATCTTTAAATGTAGTTAAAAGCTTGTCCAAAGACTAGTCAATAATTAAGAAAACACCAATTAAAATATCGGTTAAAGACCAGTTAAAAGTCATTATTGAGACATGCTTGTAACAAAGTGAACATCACAGGAAATTAATTACAGGGATCAAAATTTAGTGTAATCCTAATATTTATCGCCCGATTTACAAAAGAGTCAAAAATTCTTAAGCTGTTAATAATTAGTGCATTAGCCCTATAAAAAAATTAGTCCATTATTTCCACGAATTTGCAATAGCGGCGGCAAAGTCCATCTTTCCTCTGTAATCTTTCCATGATTTTTCCATGAATATGAAACATTTCTGGAGAAAACAACGGAATTTCAAGTTACGCACGGATCTGTTTTTTTTACAGGGCAGATAATTCCAATCAAAAAAATCAAAAAGATAATAAAAATAGGAGGACAAAAATTACATATATGAATATCCTATATTTTTTCAAGAGCAAACAAAGATTTTGTTATTTTTTGGGATTAATGTTTTTTTTTTGTCTAATGGACCTTTTAGTAAAAAAATAAAATAAAATAAAATGTACAAGTTCATTCATATTTATGAAAATGCAATAAATCTTTGTTTTTGTCTTATTGGTATTGAAACAAGGTAAATAAGCATTGCCTTGTGTTGGAACATTATAAAAATATCACCAATTCACTGTATAAAAAAAAAACTAGTCAAATTACAAATACTTCAACAAAAATAAATAAGTTTAATGCTTACTTTTTGGGTTGTTAATTGAACTCTTTTTTTGTTCCTTGCTCCACTATAAAACTTACTAAATCAACCTGTAATATAAGTACAAAATAGATGAAATAATCAATAAAATATAGCTGGGAAAAAAGCCAATTCAAAAATAAATCAAGCAAACTTATTAGTAGGATGATAAAAAAAGTAAAACTCCAAGTCATGTGCCAAGAGTTGTAACTCATTTACTATTGGTCATAATTATGTATACAAAAAAAATTTTTTAAAAATGGCTAAAATAAAAAAAGAATTAAATGGCACTAAAGGGTGGCAAAAAAAAAAGTCAAAGGAGTTTGAGAAGAAATTCTTCTTCAAACTTTTTCTTTTCACCTTGATACCTTTCTCCCCCCACAGCTCCTTTAACCTTGATTCGAAAAACAAAGAAGCTGGAAGAGAAGAAGGATTGGTGGGAGCAAATCAAGTATTTACAATGTTCCTTAGTTGATAATAAAAAATTATTTTCATTCATTCCATTTTGTTTATTTATTTACTCATTGAGAAAGCATTTGATATACTGTTTACAGCTTTAAATAACTAATTTGATATCCATTTCATTGTCCATAACATATTTTACTTAAAAAAAAGTAAACCAAATTCTTGTATTTTTTTTCCTTCCCTTGTTCTTTCATTCTTATACTTACACTTCAACAGCTGATGAAACACAACACAACAAAAAAAGTGAAACTGGAAGCAGGTTATTTACCAAGGATAGATCAACAAGTTTATAACATAAATTGATCTGGACAAATCACACTTAGAGCTTCTGCTTCTTCCAAATTTTCAGTCCCATGAAATTTTCATTTGACTGTTATTAAGATTAATGTTTCTGGTTGAAACTATCTCTTAATACCCAAAATTTCTGAAACACTTTGGGCCAGCTATTTTTTATTAATAGCTGAAATTGGGTGAAATTATTTTTAAAATAGGTTGATTTATATAGTTTTTTATGTTTGTTCTTATAAAAAATATTGAGAAGCCCAACTATTGTCAAAGCTACTTTTTCAAAAATAGTTTGGACTGGGAACCTTAATTGAGACCTTCAAGATACAACGCATATAGGATTCCTTATTATTGGAAACCCACATGTTGGAGAAACTTTATTTGGATTTTAGCATCAAGCATTTTGAGGCTGGGAAAGGGGGTATATATATGGAGCATGCTGCAAAAAAACCAGACAAAGTGAACATTGGTATTACAAAAATTTCAGGGACCAATATTATTTATTTAATATCACAATTACATTACCAATGCAATGTGATCAATGATATTTGTCTTAAGATTTCTGGTCCAAACTGTTTTCTCATAACCCAAACTAGTTTGGGCAATTTGGGCTTCTCAACATTTTCTATAAGCATGAGCATTAAAAAACTATATGAATCAACTTGTTTTAACTTGAACAACTTTAAAATAATTTCACCCAATTTCGGCTAATAACAAAAAGTAGTTTGGGCTTATAAAAAAATAATTTTTGCCCAAAGTATTTGGGCAATTTCGGCTACTAATAGAAGCAGTTTCGACCAGAAACCTTAATTTGTCTAGACAAAAATAGTTAATATGAAGTTAATTTACATTGAGTCTACTATGGAACCCAAGAATTATAGTACCATTAGAAGAGTTTTAAAAAAGGAACAAGGTGAAAAAATTGCTCCTTATATTTTCAAAATAAATGACACTCACATACTTGAAGCTTATCTAAGTAAAGAGAAAATCATCTATGAAATTTACCAAGAAGAAAGAAAAATAATAAATGTTAGAAAAAGCATCATAATGATGCATTATTACCTAATACTAACAAAAAGCAAAAATCTTTAAATGGAAAATAACTACCATTTTCTTTGATAGTTGGAATGAATTTCAATTTAGAGAGGAAAATAGCCAAAAATTACTTTCTTATTTTCAATCAAGATCATTTCTTAGTTTCTTTAACTTCAATTTGAGCAATTTGTCCATTCTTTTCCTCTTTTAACTTCTTGTTTTCCTCTTCTAGTTGCTTAATTTTTTCTTCTAAACCCTTTATCTTAGCCAATAATTCCTGCTTTTGTCTCTTACTCCACTCTTCAGATTTTTCTTGAAATTTGGTTACTTCTTCCCTTTCAATTTCTAGTGCTTCTTCAGTAGTTGTTAACTCTTCTTGTAAAGAGTTTATTTGTCTTTCATAAAAAGCAGACTGACTTATTTCTTCATCAGGTAAGAGGGGAAATTCCTTTTCTTCCATATCTTCTTCGTATTTGACACAAAAACAAATATATTTACCATTAAGAACATCAAGGTAATGTCTGGTTTGTAATCTACCACACCTATTACACTTTAACAATTTATCATTTTCAAATTTTTCCTTACAATTTTCGCAAACTACATCATCTGCAACATATTTGCCATTCATTTTAATATGAACCACTATTTGATTAACAGACTTATTATCCTCTCCATAAAGATTAGAACAAAAATCACAAGTTTTTCGACTTGTTCTTTCTAAATCTAAAAGTGTGTAAGTTAGTTCTCTCATTAATTATATGCTTACCTCTATTCTAGCAACTAACTCTTGGATTTGACATTCTTTGCTTTCCACCAATTGATGGAATCCAGTTTTTATTTTTGTTTTTAATTGCTTGAATTTATTTTGCTTTTTAGGGTAAAGCAAGTAAATCCTTTCCAAATAATTGTAATCAAATTTGCAAATTTTCTTTTTCTTTTCTAAGGTTTTTGTTTTGCAAATCTTTTTTTGAAATTATCTTATTAGTTATTCTACCTTTTCCCTTTCACAAATAAATCATATTAGATCATCCCATCATTTATATTTTACATCATTATATCTTACATTGGATCATCCCATCATTTGATCCAAACAACCTTTTTTAACCCATTTTTGGGAAGTTGAACAAGTGCCAACCACACAATCTCTAACCATCACTTCATTTTATTAAAGATCATCCCATCATTAAAACAAATCAACCTTGTCTCGTGTTATATATATAACCCACAAACAATATACAAATCATATGTAAGATGCAAAATGAGAAATCATCATGCAGTGATAACCCACTATTATTCACTTTGGAGTGGCTGTGTATTATAATAAAACCTAATGAAAGATAGTTTAGAAAGTAAATTCTATAAATTTACATATTATCAGAAATTATCATTTTTGACTCAGGCACAATCCCACAATACCTTGACAGATTTATTAATGAACAGATTTATCAAAGATAAAATTCTTTTGTTTTTTTATTGTTTATAGATAATATAATAAAAATATATAAAATATTAAACAGTAAATAAAAATTCTATAAGAGTGATAGGCCACTTAAATCACAAAAAAGGGTTTATCTGATTTAAAATAAATAGACAAATATAAAGCATGTTATGAAAATTTTTGATAATAGTAAGAGGTGTTTGTTCACCACATGGCACTTCCTAAAAGACTAGGTGAAAATTTCAATAATCAGATCAGATAAATAAAATCTATTCACAAATTAGATAAATCATCTGGTATAGTTAATTCAATTTGTTTAGAATCTGGAATAGTTAATTTATAATTTAAAATGTCATTAATAATAAATAATTATGATTAAATGTGTAACAATAAATTAGATTATTACCATTATTGTTGCTAATAATTGTAACTTTATTGGAATTTACAGGTTGAGAAAGATTTGTAAAATTCAATAATCTACTTGTATAAACTGCATTTGGATGAGCAGTTGCTGTAATTGTTGAAGGGTTGAAGGGTTTTTTATCTGCTTCCCTAAATATTTTTCTTATTTCTTTTAATTCATTTAATTTATAATAATTAAGTTTGTGTTTTAAAATTATGTTGGTACCAATTGTGCCAACTGCATCTTTCCAAAAAGCAATAATTTTTAAAATTTCATCTGCTGTTGGTCTTTTTTCAGGATCAGCATCCATGCATTTGTATGCTAACTTAATATAACATTCTGGAGTATTATCTGAAAAACTAGGCCTTAAGCCACCACAAATCTTCAGTGCAAGTTCTAGATCATGTGATTGATCTTTGAATGGCTGTTGATGTGTTGATGTTTCTGACATTAAAATCCCAAAGCTGTAAATGTCTGATTTTTTTGTATAAGGTTTCTTATTTAATACCTCTGGTGCAACATATGGTAGTACTCCAAATATATCATTTTTACTTTCACTTGATGTTTCTTGATCAGCTGAGCCTGATAACCCTAAATCTGTAATCATTGCCTGGGATAAATAATCAAAATATAAAATATTACCACTGTGAAGATCACCATGTGTAAGTTTTTCTTGATGAAATGTGTTTAAACTTGAGATGATGTTATAAAGTCTTTTGATTTTATCATTCCATCCTGTAATAGATGATTTTAAATATTTTCTAAAATCTCCTTCATCTGCATATCTCATTATGAGAGCATATTCTTTTGTATTTGGATCTTGTGAAATGCCATAAATATTAACAATACCCTTGTGATAAGGTCCTATAAACTTAATGTGATTTTGAAGCTTTATGAAAATTAATAAAATTTAATTTATGATTTAAAATCATTAATTGTTAATTAATTATATCAAATTATTTACCTCTTTCAAAAACTCTTCAGAAATGTTTTGTGAGTTTTTAACCTTTTTTAATGCTACATGACCACCTTCACAATAATATCTTTTATTTTCATAAACATATCTAGGACCATTTAACCAGTAACACTTATACACAGTTGCAAAACCACCTTCACCTATTCCTTCTTCAACTATGAGTTTGTTATAAGGAATCCATTCAAGATAATGATAACTATCAAATCCTTTGGCTTCAAGCTGTGTATTTCTAATTATTTCATCCAATTTTTCATTACCACTGCTAGTCCAACTTCGAGCTAACAATTTGGGATCACATGATTGACACCACTGGTAATTAGTATTATATCTTGCACAAACAGAACAGATTCCATATTTTTTCTTTCTTTCTTTAAAACCCTTAGTATTATCTTATAAAATAGAATTATTTTTCAGCATAATAAAAAATAGACATTCATTCCAAGTGAAAATTGTAAAAAAGATAAAATTATAAATTATTTGATTAGACAAGGTTTTGATAATTTATTTTGTGTTGTAAAAGTTATTTTATAATATAACATAATATTTACCAGCTAGTTATTATGAAGAAATAAAATTTATTTAATAGTTGATGTTATAAATTTTATTTTATATTATAGAAGTTACTTACATGCTGGAAAATAAGTTTATTAATTAGTTGATGTTTTAATAAAATTTATTTTGTGTTGTAAAAGTTAATTTCATAATATGATACTTACTCCCTGGTTATTATAAAGATTTATTAATTATATGATGTTTTAATAAAATTTATTTTGTGTAATTTATAATATACTAACCAGCTGGTTATTATAAATAAAGAAAAATTAACTTATTGATTAAATATAAAAATTATAAAAATTATAAAAGTTGATTTATAATACTTACTAGCTGGTTATTATAAAGAAATAAAAAATAAAAT